CATAGAAATACTTTTTTTTTTGTCACCTGGGAAATATTTAATTGATATAGGTGTATGTAGTTAAGCTCTAAGAAATATTAGTTGTTATTAATTTGCTAAATTCATAAGAGAACCACGCAGAAAAAAATGTAGAAAACCAATATTTTTTTATTAGCCATTTTTGATCTCAAAATCTTGGCTACAAAACGAAGTCCAAGTGGCCAAACCTAAATACATTTTAAATGCGTCAATTCAACTTTTGTCTTTAACTTAAAAAAGTCAGTCTAACTGACGTCTTCAACACAAAATCTTTAATTTTTTGTGCTAGCAGTTTTGTATATTTGCGATAAATAAGTCATTTGGGTGACGAAAACGAATGTGGTTATTAAAAGAAAGAGACAATGATTATAAAAGTGAGTAATATACTAATCTAAAAGAGTATTATGCCAATAGTGGACATTTCGTGTAAATGAATCAAACTCATTACACATGGAACTAGTAGAATTTTACGCAACTACGCCACACTCACGTTCACTGACGATGCAAAGAATGAATAGGGAAGACCACAAATTAGTAGTTAGACAACTCAAAACTAAGAACAATAGGATATTAGTTCATAGACGTCAATAGTCTATGCTCGGGGTTACTACCACCATAGCATCAACTGCATATAAATGAGAATTAACACCTATTAGATGAAATATGGATGGGAATTGTTTTGCAACCGATTTGGTAAAAAGTTCCTTCTTAGCGCAAAGCGGACAACACGAATCCAACTTTGAAATTGAATAGAGCATGAACGGAAAATAACCATTTGACCAAATTATTGGGTCCAAGAGCATGAGAATGGACGGCTATCATACATTTTCCAACTTTAAACAAAGTAAGAAAAGATTAGCATGAAGTTGACTAAAATTCCTAATTTTATTTGTAAAATTTCGGCCATCGAAAATTTAATTTGTCTACAATATCAAAAAATAATTATATTTGAAGGTCAAGTTATAACACCACCTTGAGGGTGAATATACAACTCAATGAGGTTATTTGGGATAAATCCCTAAAAATTTTAGAATTGTTTCAAAACAATCTCAATTTATTTAAGGATTTTTCGCACCGAAGAATATCTCAATTTCTACTTTATAACCTGATAAATTAATTTTCTCACATTGCACCTTAAATGTTATAAATTAGTTCTAATGTAACTCTCAAACTAATATCTGTTTCAAATTCTGTTAAAAATTGATTCACTTGTCACTCACGTGTATTATTTTTCGACAAAAATATAAATTCACAATTCATATATTGGATAGCATGTGCATGAATAAGACTGTTTGTCTTTATTAAGAGTACATGTAATTCATGTATATGTGTGTTCTAAGTTTTTTTAAGAGAATAGTCTATTATAAAAAATATATATATATCTATCTGCATTGATAAGCCAGCAATTATTCTAATGATTGCAGTTAAAAAAAAAAAAGTAATTTACAACGGATATATATGACAAAATGAAATCAACTCATTTTTAAAAACCCAGGTCACTTCAAAGAGTACCGTTGTGAATGTTTGGCAGAAAAAGATAGAGATTAGCTCGATCTGATGATTTCGTATCAAATCTAGATCTCTCTGCTCCGGTGAAATGAAGGTACATCTCTGGTGACGCAGGTAAGCCACTGATCTGGGTTTGTTTCTCTTTTTGATCTGGTTTTTCTTTTGGATCTTAGTTTTCTTCTTTGGATATGGGTTTGTATAGATCTTCCTAGATCATTGTTTTC